GGGGGAGAAGAAGAACTCCAGCGAAGGGAAAACAAGAGGCTCGGGCAATCCTGCTGGCGCACCGCACATCAGTCCAACTGAACAGGTGTCTTAAGACTGGCAGAGCGGATGCCCAGGGTTTGAGGGGCAAGTGAACATGGACAACTCTGGGAGGCAATTTAAAGGAAGATGAGGCCACCTAGAGCAAAGTCTGGTTGAAACTGAGCCAGCAGAAGAGGGGTCTGCATGGGGTTAAGGCAGATAGAGTGAGGGACCTCCACCTTCCCAGACTGTCCTTTATCTCTGTGCTGGCTTCTCTCTCCATCTCTTTGTTCTTTAGACTGATAGGGGTTAAACTGCTGTTTTAGAGGTTGTTCTCAAAAGTCTGGAATGGATTAATCCATTTCTATGGGAAAGCACACCTTGCTTTTGGAACGCTTTAGTTTTGGAACAGACTTCCGGAACGGATTACCGTATTTTTCACCCTATAGGGCGCACCGGCCCATAGGGCGCACTTTTTGGGGGGGGGGAAATAAAGAGAAAAAAAATTATCCCCCCCCCCCCGAGCCCCAAAGAGCAAAGAAGCCATGACAGCAAGTGGGATGGATCCATCCCGCTCACTGTCTTGGCTTCATTTTTAGCCTCGGGGCTGGGGGTCCGGGAGCAAAGGCAAGGTTGTGCTGAACCTCGCCATCGCTCCCGGAGCTTGCTGCTATTTGAAGCCCGGGGAGCGCAGCGCTGTAGCCCGCTGCGCACCCCGGGCTTCGGGCTGCAGGCAGCTATCCGCAAGCCTTCGGAGCCCGCGGGAGTTCCTGCCGGGCTCCGCAGGCTTGCGGATAGCTTCCTGAAGCCTGGAGAGCTAGAGGGGTCAGTGTGCACCGACCCCTCTCGCTCTCCAGGCTTCAGCGAAAGCCTGCATTTGCCCCATAGGACGCACACACATTTCCCCTTCATTTTTGGAGGGGGAAAAGTGCGTCCTATAGAGCAAAAAATATGGTAAGTTTGAGAATCAAGGTACCACTGTATATTTATATTGCAATTTGAATCCATTGGTCAACAGTGGAAAAGCCTGCCCTGCAATGGGGTGGCCTTGCTTTCAATAGATGTTTTTAAGCAGAGACAGGAGGGCTACCTCTCAGGGTTGCCGTACCAGCAGATTTTCCTGCACTGGCATAGGAGTGGACTAGATGACAATTGAGACACCTCAACTGTATACTGATTTGCTCTATTTACTCCAGCAAGCTCCCACCACTGGTATTCGAAGTCAAGTACATGTGACATTAGCTACATATTTAACCTGTTGTTTCCGAAGAAATGCTTGTGTTTGGTGTGTTTTCCATCAAACCAGCTTTCATCCGATTTGAAAACACAAGCTGAGGTGTGTACATTTCAGACAGTCATTGAGCATGCTCAGATGACAGCTCAACTGAATAGCTGTCTGGGGCGTGTGGACTCTGTACCTGCCTGGTGTGTAAAAGCAAGTGCGTACACAATTTGAAATGCAGGAGGAGGGAACAACCTCATATCATTTTAAGCCACTAATGTGTACATAGCCCACAATTACAAAGAAGATCTACAGGTGACAGAAAACAAATTAGGCTTCTGGGTAAATGTATACCAATTACCGGCTTTTGAGAAAACTACTCCATTGTGACATGCTTTCAAAACAACATCAAGGTCACATGCTACAGGAAAAACCCAACACACAAAGCTTCCAAAATTACAACTTACTTTCCTATATATTCTGACTGGCAGTAAGTTGGAGTGAGTAGAAAAGTTTCAGAACAGCAAGAATAAATAAATGTCTGGAACTTATGAAAATCTGGTCAGCATCCATTTATCCATTGCATTTATCCAATATCCTGCGCCTTCTATCCTAGATAAGCCCCCTCATAATCCAAAGGTCTAAGGAGAGCCATTCAGCTCTGTTAAATGCACGCACCGGACAATAAAGTAATCATCTCCTGCACTTAAGAGAGTCATTTTCCATCGGAAGATCCATAAAACATTCTGGAAATGTCGATGAGCTAAGCCTTGCAATTTATAGGGAAGGCAAATACCCACCTTGAGGTTAGAAAGAGCTTGCAGCATCTACCTTATTTGCCCCATCTCAAAGAAAACAGAAAAACCAACGGGGGAAACTGAGGATAAAATATGGTTGTGAATTTTTCTTGATTTCCTTGTTTTCTTTTATTTTTTTGGTAAACCACTATGAGGTATTTATTTATTTATTTATTTGCAATCGAGTGGTGTATACATTTTATGAAATTAAATAAATTAATTAATCCAGAAGAACACAGGCTCTCTGAGCCCTAGGCTTCTTGGAAATGGTTTCTGTCTTGTCAACAGCACTCTCTTTAGAAAAGATCTTTAAAGGGTTTAATTTCCATGCAGGAAAACAGGGAGACAATCTTTTTATCACTGGAGATGTGCAAGCCATCAATAAAAATCTCTAGACTTACTGAAACTCATTTACCTTTTCCCCCAGAATTCCATATACGTTCTTGGGGGAACCTCAAAATTTAACTTGAATTGCCTTTTTGGTGAAATTTAGTGGCAACCACTTAGGAGCACCCTGGACACACGAAGCAAAAATCTCATTTTACCAAACTTCCATTATTAAAAATACCTTCAGTTGCAAGTGGCCGATAGCCAGGTGGCAAAATGCACCTGGCTAATTTTGAACACTGGTTCTCTCCTTCCTCACAACAACCTTGTGAGGTAGATTAGGCTGAGAGGCAATGACTAGCCTCAAGGTGACACCTAGTGAGCTCCATGGCCACGTGGAGATTCGAACCCTGGTCTCCCAGGCCCTAGTCCAAAACTCTAACCACTACACCACACTGACTCTCACTATCTATCTTACTATCCCCATGATCCAAAAGTTGGGGGAGGGGCACTTAGTGGTTTGCTCAGGGTCTCCTATAACTTCACATTCTGGTGTGGAAAATTTAACTCACACTACACCAGCTGAGTCACATAAGCCAAGTATTAAAACAACAAGCCAGATGGTTTAAAGAAGTAGAAAAGAGTTTTCTAAACTGTGCATCACAACACATTAGTGTGTCGGCCGCAGTGTGTAGTCCTGGGATGGGAAAGGGTTAGTTCAGCCTCCAGTTTGCTAGCAAAACAGAATTACTGTGTCGCGAAACGATGCAAAACTGAATTACTGTGTCACGAAACGATGCACGTCCGGAAAGTGTGTCACCGACTTGAAAAGTTTGGAAAGGTCTGAATCAGAGTGTCTTGAGTTGAATGAAAAACACTCGAGACCAAGTTCCTCCATTCCTTATCTCTTCTGACTCCACGTCCTAAGGTACGCCTGGCTTTACTAGAGGCTTCCAAGGAAGTGCCGCTCTTGATGAGGGAAGAACTCTTGTGTCCCTGCAAAACTCACTTGTAGCGTTTTGCTTTCAAGCTGACCCAGTAAAAATATTTCCCTCTCTTTCTCTGCGTTCTTATTTTACTTTCGGACGTCCCTGCCCAGGAGGCTGAGAGCAGTTAGCAAATGGGAGCCAGGAGAGGGGAACATGCCGAAGAACCAGCTCTCTCCAACTCATCCTGATTTGAGAGGTCGGTGCACTTAAGTAGACAAGCTAAACAGCCTGCACCTGCCCTGCTCTTTCACCCCATCGAGGCTGCGGGGTTAGTTCCATGTTAATTGCAGCAAGAGCCGCAGGGGCCCAGCTCCAGCTGCTTGGGTTTTTTATGAAACGGATCACCGTGTCTTCTTTTCATCTCGAGCACTTTTGCCTGGGGTGGCTGCATCTTGGGGGAAATGAAAAGGCGGCGGGGGAGAGGTGGTGGGGGCACAGACACACACGTAGGGAGGGAAAGGGGCACCAACGCCGCCTGCCCAGGTTGACAAATAAATACGTGGCAATTAGCTAGGGCAATATTAATGAATAATTAACTGCCATGAATAATTGAAGGAGGATTTTGGGCATTTTGACGTGACGGGGGCGGCAGCTGAATGCTGATGGGCAGGGGGGAGGCTCCTGTCAGTTTCAACACAGGGAAATTCAGGGAAGAGGCGGCGCTCAAAAGCAGAATTAAAGGAAGTCTTCCAACAGCCCACTGTGAAAACATACCGAGGTTTGGTAAAGGTAAAGGGACCCCTGACCATTAGGTCCAGTCGTGGCCGACTCTGGGGTTGCAGCGCTCATCTCGCTTTATTGGCTGAGGGAGCCGGCGTGACTAAGCCACTTCTGGCAAACCAGAGCAGCGCACGGAAATGCCGTTTACCTTCCCGCCGGAGCGGTACCTATTTATCTACTTGCACTTTGACGTGCTTTCAAACTGCTAGGTTGGCAGGAGCAGGGACTGAGCAATGGGAGCTCACCCCGTTGCGGGGATTCGAACCACCGACCTTCTGATCAGCAAGCCCTAGGCTCTGTGGTTTAACCCCCAGCACCACCTGCGTCCCTACCGAGGTTTTTTATATGCTCAGGTAAATCAGTATGTATAATAATGATTTAGCTCCAGCTGCTAGGTTCTTACAGAATGATGGAAGAGATGTTTCTGGGTCATCCAGAGGCTACTCTGCCACACTCCAATTACCCCAGATGACCTCAAAGCTGCCCAGGTCAGCCAGAGCAAATAAGTAGAAAAAGACTGATGTATTGGGAGAGCGATTTATTGAAGTGTCACAGGACCCCCGTCCAGAGGGTGTGCGCACCAAACTCCACATTCACTCCAAGAGTACACATCACCATTGTCTCCTCAAGAGGACCCTGGGTTGTAGGGAACGGTAGCAGCCGGCAACATGGGTCACTTGGATGTCTGAAAGGACAGGATGATTGCAAAGATCTACGGTAGCTCTGAAGAACAGTGTTTGAACACACATGGTGCTTGGACCCTGCAGAGAAACCGTAACTGCTGCACTGGAGATAATCGTAGTATTATCCCTACAGGGAATGCCAAGTGTGAGCAAGTGAAAGGGGAGTGGTGTGCCACTTGATGCCCTTGGAGATGCCTCAAAGTCAGGGTTTTGAGCACTTTTGGGAAATGCTTTAATTTCAGGAGTGGGAAGCTGGCAGCAGACCAGTGCTGGATCTCATTCATCCAAGCAAATCTGGGTCTGCGTGACACATTAAGACTCCCAAGTTCTTCCTATACGTGGCATCAATGCAGATGGGAAGTCTGAGAGGGTGTTCTGAAGTTCTACAACTGAAGCGGACCAGCTGTAGCTCAGTACACACTTTCAGGATGAGAAGAAGACCTGGAAACTATAGGTAAGCCGTTCTGGAATCTTTGGAAGAAGATGGTCATATATGAGGATAGATAGAAAGGACAACCAGAAAATATTGAGACTCCTCTAGGAACTCACTTAGAATATACCGTATTTTCTCGTGTATAAGACTAGGTTTCCCCCCTAAAAGATAATGTCAAAAATTTATACACAGATACATCTCCCCCCATTTTCTTAAATCGGAGTCCCCCAAAACAGTGGGCGTCTTATACATGGGGGTGTCTTATAGGCGGAAAAAATACGGTACATCTGCCATATGTTCCATTGCTGTACCTCAGATATTTTTGTTGAATAAAGTTGAATAAATTAAACAAATATGGGGAGGGGGGTGTCTATGAAACCTGACTTTCCTAATCCATGCACGTTTCTTCTACTCTTTTACGATGAACAAACCACAACCCACAATTATCCACTTTATCCTGGTAAAGCAAGGAGCCTTCACCTTTCAACAGGTAAGCCAGTGGTCCACATCATTCTGCTCAGCGGCAAGGAACATTCCTCAACACTTCTGCACATGGTCGGGAATCTATAGACAAAAAAGATGGGCAAGGCACCACTTGGTAAAGGGTTGTCTGTATTCACCCCGAGATGGAAGAGCAGCAAGAAGGCCCCCTTGCCCTGTAATTAAAAACTGGAATTAAAAGTGTTTGGGGGAAGTGATGATGGTATCATACAGCAATCTAGCTGAAATGTGATTCCGGGTGCCACTTTCTTTATTAAAGATTCTTACAAAGGCCAAAGAGTCATTCAGGCTGCTTTAATTTCAGCAAAGCCAGGCGCAGCTTTTCTTTAAAGAGCTTTGCATCTCCTCCTCTGGCTTGTAAATGGCTCAAAGATATACAACCTGCTTCAGCACTTGAAAAGCTGGAGGGGAAGAGAGTTTGAAGCTGAAAGCTTCCAGTCGTATACGGATACCCTTTGTGCCTTTGTTATGAAAAGTAGAGCTCAGATCTCCAATTATTCTTCTGGATACATTTAATGATATCTCAAGCCGGAATTCTACATGGAGCTCAGAAAAGCCCGCGTTCCAACGCTGGAAGGGGCAACAGAGGTGAATTTTAGTCTTTTGAAAGCAAGGAAGGATTATAGTGGGCTCACCACTTACGCTCACTTATGCTATCACAACCTTACGCAAATAAGGGAGTAAATAAATAAACAGAGAGCTAGGGAAACATGCCACTCCTTGCTTTCCATGTATTTTCCACACACCCAGCAGCTGATCCTCGCTTACAGGGCTCTGGGAAGGTTGAGGAAGGGCACTGGAAAGCTCCCAGAGCACCTTGTGAATCCTTCCCAGAGTCCAGTAAGCAGCCCTCAGCCTTGAGGCGAGTAGTTCCAAGGGTTCCTGTCTTTGTGCACGGCCCCCTGGAACCAAACCCTCACAGGTGCGTGTGTGTGTATTGGCAGAGTGCAAAATCGCCTGGAGAACAAACTGAGCCACTTCTGCAGGTCTCAAGTTTTGAAAGCGTGGAGGCTCAGAGCAGGAAGTCTGGAAGCCAGGTATTAGCCCAGGTCCTGACAGCCTCCCCAGTCCACACCATAGCTGCGGTGCCCACTTTCCCCCTTTTAGTACAATCCCAGCAAACCATGCAGAATTCAGCGGGCAGTTTCTCCATGAGAAGTCGAGCATGTGGCAACACGAGAACGGAGCCTTTTCTGCAGTGGCTCCTCATTTGTGGAATGCTCTCCCCAGAGAGGCCCACCTGGTACCTTTATTATACACCTTTAGGCACCAGGCAAAAGTGTTCCTCTTCAACAAGGTCTTGGGCTGATCAACAACCCTTTTAAATGTGTTTGTGTGGGGTGGGGGAGGCGGGTAATGTATTGTTTTTTGCTCTCTTTTTTTTGCATTTTTATCTTGTATTTTTATGCTGTGACCTTCCCCGAGATCCACAAGGGCAGTATACAAATTTAATAAATAATTGTAATAACAATAATAGTAACAAATCTTAAACTACTTTCCACACAAATATTTTTGCCCCATTTTAATTCCCCTGGTTTTCCTGATTGCTCTCCTTCAACGCAGATCCATTTCAAATCCTCAGCTATTCAGAGTTTCAGATCCCTTGGAAGCTGTTGCACACACAGCTGTGCACACAAAGGCATTGGCAAAGATGTTGGGATGAGTGTGCAACATCGTACGCTAAGCAAGGTGTGCAAAGGCCTATCATCAAATGGAAGCACAAAAAGAGGGAGAAGAAAGAATGAAGGAGGGAGAAAGTGAAAGGGAGGAGAAAAATATATAGCTGCCATTTTATCTTGCATACATTTGCACAGCATTTCCTCATATTTCTTTATCTCTCTCCTCTTGATTTTTATTAGCTCCTTCTTCCTTGGCTGCTGGGTCCACTAATTATCCAGGTATCGAGGTCTGCTTCAGTTTTATCTCTCCGTTTATGTAGTATCTGCCTTTGAGCACTAAATACTGCTGCTCTTTTAATCCAAGCCTATCATTCCTCCTTTATGTTTCCAGAAAGCTGGAGTGTATCCTAATATTAACACTGTGAAAGATCGTTTTCCCTTCTTTCCTAGGACCAGGTTAATTCAGTTGCACCACTTTCCCCAGAACTCACCAATACAGGATAGTCTTGATAATACTGAAATAATAATGAGAGGAAGTATGACGTAGTGGTTAGAGTGTCAGACTAGAATGTGGGAGCCCAGGGTTCAAATCCCCACTTGGCCATGAAGATAACTGGGTGACCTTGGGCCAGTTACTGCCTCTCAGTCTAATCTACCTCACCAGGTTGTTGTGGGGATGACCTCCAAACCATCGCAGAAGCTTACGAAAAGCTTGGCCTATCACTCAACATCCAAAAAAAAGTGCTGCACCAACAAGTACAAAATAACCCCTCTGAAGCACCACAAATCCAACTCAGTGGTGTAACATTGCAAAATGTTGATCACTTCTCCTACCCAGGCAGTTATCTTTTCACAAGGGTCAACAATGATGCCAAAATCCAGCATCGCCTGAGCTCTGCGAGTGCGGCTTTCTTCCAATTGAAGCGCAGAGTGTTTGAGGACCGGGACATTTGCAGGAAAACCAAAATGCTTGTTTACAAAGCTATTGTACTACCGACCTTACTGTATGCTTGTGAAACATGGACCACATATAAACACCATCTCCAACTCCTCGAAAGATTCCATCAAAGATGTCTCCGAAAAATTTTACGCATCACTTGGGAAGACAGGCGACCTAATATCAGTGTACTGGAAGAAGCAAAGATCACCAGTGTTGAAGCAATGATTCTTCAACATCAGCTTTGTTGGACTGGTCATGTTGTGTGGATGCCTGATGATCGTCTTCCAAAGCAACTACTCTATTCCAAACTTAAAAATGGAAAGTGTAATGCTGGTGGTCAGCAAAAGAGGTTTAAAGACTCTCTCAAGACAAATCTTTAAAAATGTAGTATGCACACCAACAACTGGGAAACCCTTGCCTGTGAGCTCTCCAGTTGGAGAACAGCCTTTACCAAAGGTGTCATGGGCTTTGAAGACACTCAAACTCAGGACGCAAGGGAGAAACGTGCTAAGAGGAAGGCACACTTGGCAAATCCACACCGTGATCAACTCCTGCCAGGAAATCAATGTCCCCACTGTGGAAGGATGTGTGGATCCAGAATAGGCCTCCACAGTCACTTACAGACTCATTGTTAAGACCGTGTTTATGGAAGACAATCTTACTCAGCTACAAGTGATCGCAGAAGAAGAAGGAGAAGGAGAAGGAGAAGGAGAAGGAGAAGGAGAAGAAAAAGAAGAAGAAGAAGAATTGGAAGAAGAAGAAGAAGAAGAAGAATTGAAAGAAGAAGAATTGGAAGAAGAAGAATTGGAAGAAGAAGGGGATTAAACAAGAAGCAGGAATACCAGGTATGCAACCTTGAGCTCCTTGGAGAAAAAGGTGGGGTACAAATGTTGTTTTTGTTCCTCACTTCTAATATTTATGGATTGTTAAATTTAAGAAGCGGGGAACACTGAGAGGAGGCTGAGAGGAGATATGAAAGCAATCATCAAATATCTGAAGGGCTGCCACATGAAAGATGGAGCATGCTTGTTTTCTCCTGCTCTGGAGGGGAGGTTTTGAAGCAGAGGCTGGATGGCCATCTGTCATGGATGCTTCAGCTGAGATTCCTGCATTGGACTAGAGGACCCTTGGGGTCTCTTCCAGCTCTACGGTCCTATGATTCTATCTGTTCTAGCTGCACACATGCTACCAGTCCAGGTTCAAGGCTCTTCTTGTGTTGATATACAAAGCCCTGTACAAGCTTGGGCCCAGGGCAACTTAAGGACCACCTGAGTCCTTATATTAGAGCTTGATCACTGAGATAATCTGGAGGAGGGCTGTTAGTTGCCCCCTTTAGTGTTACAAAAGTGCAGCTGCCCTCAGCTAGAAGCAGGGAGTTTAGTTCCACTGGTCTCATGCTGTTGAACGCTAGTCCAGCAGAGATTTGGCAGGCATCCTTAGTGTTGACTTTCAGATGTCTCTTGAAGGCCTTTTTTAATGCCAGGCCTTTGCAGCTGCTTAAATTGATCAGCCACTTTAATGATCTGTATTGTTTCCAACGGTGTTTTGTTCTTTATAGACGTACCCTGCCCTCGTGTTTTATGATATAGCACCAGACCCGTCGGCAGACCAACCCTGCAGTACAAAGATATCTGCAAATGAGACATGAAGGCTGTCAACATCAACCCCGCCATGTGGGAATCCCTTGCAGAAGATTGCAATGCTTGGAGACAGACAGACAGACAGACAGACAGCAAGCATACCCTCCAACATTTCTCCGATGAAAAGAGGGGTGTCCTATTCCTTCATCAACATCAACATCATTTCAACATATATAAAAACATAATAAAAAATTAAACATTTAAAAAACCTTCCCTGATGTCTTCTAAAGGTTGTATAGCTACTTATCTCCTTGGCTCAGGGGTCCAACATTTCTCCAATAAAAATAGGGGTGTCCTATTCAATAATAGAATGCTGATCGCCAAAGAATGGATGCTTTTGAATTATGGTGCTGGAGGAGACTCTTGAGAGTCCCATGGACTGCAAGAAGATCAAACCTATCCATTCTGAAGGAAATCAGCTCTGAGTGCTCACTGGAAGGACAGATCCTGAAGCTGAGGCTCCAAGACTTTGGCCACCTCCTGAGAAGAGAAGACTCCCTGGAAAAGACCCTGATGTTGGGAAAGATGGAGGGCACAAGGAGATGGGGACGACAGAGGATGAGATGGCTGGACAGTGTTCTCGAAGCTACCAGCATGAGTTTGACCAAACTGCAGGAGGCAGTGGAAGACAGGAGTGCCTGGCGTGCTCTGGTCCATGGGGTCATGAAGAGTCATACACGACTAAACGACTAAACAACAACAAATTCAATAATAATACTAACAACAAGAAGAAGAACAATTTATACCCCACCCACCTGACTGGGTTGCCCCAGCCACTCTGGGAGGCTTCCAACAAATGTAAAAACATAAAAACTTCCCCCTACAGAGCTGCCTTCAGATGGCTCGGGGGGATGGTCACATAACTCCATACCCTCCAACATTTATCTGATGGAAATAGGGACGTCCTAAGGAGAAGTGGAACATTCCAGGAACAAATCAGAAACCGGGGCAGCTTCTGTGAATCCAGGACTGTCCCTGGAAAATAGGGACACTTGGAGAGTGTGCAATTTCTCCATGCCATGACTTCCCAGGAATACACGGGGCCATCACCCACATTTCTCATAGCCGCAGGTATGCTGCTCAGTAAAAGCAACAATAGGAGCACATCGACATACCTGTGCCCACGATGGGGAATGCTGCATATTCTGAAAACAGAAGCAATGTGAAGAATTCTGAGCAGTAGACACAGGTTCAAGCACCCCACCAGCACCACCCAGCGCCTTTGTTTTGAGCTGCTGTAATGTCCTTGGTGATACTTGTGTTTTGATGCTCTCTTGAACTGCAGGAGACAATAATATCTTTGCCAACACAGCACACACTCCAGGGGAGAGAGGAACAGAAAGAAAGAAAGAAAGAAAGAAAGAAAGAAAGAAAGAAAGAAAGAGAAGTAATCTCTCCATCCAGAAGCCACTTACAACACATCACTGGGCGTTTTAATTCCAGCAATCTTCCATGAAAGGTAACACTGTTATTAAGGTTTCCACCACGCAGGCCAGTGTCTTTTTAATATAATAAGATCTTCCTCGGAGGAGATTATACGGTGCCGATAACTATCTGAAGACACATTGAGCTTTAGCAGATGGATTAATTTCTGTTTACATTATGATGTGAGCGGCCCGAGAGGGGTGCCTCCTTCTTAGCTTTAATACCTAAAAAGCTTGCCACGTTTTATTCCCGCAGCGGCGACCGCTGGGGAGGAATAAGCTTCCGAAGGTTTCCGAGGAGGGAGCTCTCTGCAGGGGTGCGGCAGATCATAGAGCACAGCTCCAAACAAGAACCAAAATGTCTTGTAAGCGCTGCTGAGCAGCTGTCACCTTCTCACAGCAGAGGTGGGTCATGTCAGGGCTCAAAGACCGTAACAGCGGGACTCTAACCCAGGGAAGTGGGGCGTTGGTGGAGGGCAGAAGGAAATCCAGGAGACATTCAGCCTAGGGCCTGCCATGGATGGCTGGTTCACACATCCATACTCTTAACTATCTGTGGTGTGGCTTCTGCTTCTGAACAAGCCTTCGCAGATTGAACACGCCAGGCAAGAACTGAGACGCAAGTGTCTGTAACAACATTTGCTCGCCTTTATCTCTTGCTACCAATGCAGAATTACTGCTAGGCCCATCGTTAGAGAGGCAACTGTCACGTACGCAAGAATGTGACCTAACCACAAGACTGGTGAGGGGAGAGACTCCATCAGGCAAGGCCTCTTTCCACCTGCCTTGCCCCACCCTCTAGTCTCTTCTCAATTTGTATTGTATTACTGGCATTTTATGCATCTTAAAAAGCAGAGACATCACCTTGCCAACAAAGGTCCCTATAGTTAAAGCCATGGTTTTCCCAGTAGTGATGTATGGAAGTGAGAGCTGGACCATAAAGAAGGCTGATCGCCGAAGAATTGATGCTTTTGAATTCTGGTGCTGGAGGAGACTCTTGAGAGTCCCATGGACTGCAAGAAGATCAAACCTATCCATTCTGAAGGAAATCAGCCCTGAGTGCTCATTGGAAGGACAGATCCTGAAGCTGAGGCTCCAATACTTTGGCCACCTCATAAGAAGAGAAGACTCCCTGGAAAAGACCCTGATGTTGGGAAAGATGGAGGCACAAGGAGAAGGGGACAACAGAGGACGAGATGGTTGAACAGTGTTCTTGAAGCTACCAGCATGAGTTTGACCAAACTGCGGGAGGCAGTGGAAGACAGGAGTGCCTGGTGTGCTTTGGTCCATGGGGTCACGAAGAGTCAGACACGACTAAACAAATAAACAACAACAACATGCACTGTGGCTTGCCGGTGTTTTATTGATTGTAGTTTCAAAATTATTTATTGTAATTGTTAAGAGTGGGTTTCTGTTTAATTTTCATATGCTGATATTATTATTCTATACTATTCTAATGATTGTTGAATGTTACTTTATTTGATGTACATTGCTTATTTTAAAGCTGTTTTTTTTAAATCATATTTTTGTATTGCATTAAATTGTTATAAGGTGTACATTCTTTGTTTCTTCAGCTTGTAAACTGCCTTGAGTGTTGTAAGATAGAAAGGTGGTATACAAATTAAAAGTGATGATGATGATGATGATGATGGTAAGGACCAGTTAAAAAGGAACCTCACTGGCTGAAGGTTGAAGTGAAAAACAGCTCCATATAAGGTGCAAGGAGGGTTGTGACACATACAATGAAAACGGGTTGAGTAAACATTATTTCATCAACTGTGGTTGGATGAGAGATGAAGTGATGGGCAGCAGTAGGTGGTTGGGTAGAGGCTGAACAGCTTAAATGACATATAGTTGCCTATACAGTGGTACCTCAGGTTAAGTACTTAATTCATTCTGGAGGTCCGTACTTAACCTGAAACTGTTCTTAACCTGAAGCACCACTTTAGCTAATGGGGCCTCCTACTGTTCTCATCCTGAAGCAAAGTTCTTAACCTGAAGCACTATTTTGGTTAGCGGAGTCTGTAACCTGAAGCGTATGTAACCCGAGGTACCACTGTATTGCATGTGTCCTGATGGAAATGCTCTTGCAGACTCTTTGGACTCTGTCCTGTAATGCATTGCTGAATAAAGTCTGGCGGATCAAGAATTTGGTTTGAGCTTCCGTACTTAAACCCTCAAGAGGAATTCACTCCCTCTGTGTGCCCTTGCCTCTGCCATTATTATCCAGCTCATCCGGCCCACTTCAAAGCTCTTTCTCTCCACTCTCAGTGTTCCTGGTGAACTTTATCTATGCCCTCACAATTATTGGCAGATGAGAAAGGTGCCAGGTTCAGTCCCTTTAAGAACCTCGCTCTTGAATTGCTCTCTCCCTCCCTCTCAAAAAGGTGAGCCAAGTGAAGCTGAAATTAAACCCAGAGAATATTTAAAGTGACCTGCCCAAGGCCACATGATGGGCCCATGGGAAATGCGGAGTTTAAGTCTAGGTCCCTTGGACCTATATATCCAGCCACTATGCCACATAGTCCCTCTGGTTTTAAAGGGACTAATAGCTATGGGGTCTGATCAGGATCTACCAAGTGACCCCTTTAATTGGAATTTTCAGCCAAAGAGGCTCGTTATCTCACGTTCGTTCTGGAAATGAATGCAGAAAAGGGGAAACAATGCATCACTTTCAATTAAGGCTGTCAAGTGATTAAAACCATTTTAGTCCATTAATGAAGCAGCTGGTAATTGATGAATTGATCAATTCATCAACATTTTTTAAAAAAAAAAATCATGACTACAGAATTTTAATGCACTTCCAGAGGGTCTGTTCAATAGACCCCTGTACACCAAGAAATCCATTGGATCTTCCAAACAGAAACACGCCTTTTAACCTCTGTTAAAGCTTTCAAATCATGGCGGGGACATCTGGAAAAGAAGGGCACACGAGGAGGGTCAGGTAAACCTTCCATGCCAAAATGAAATCTTCATCTCAAAGGAAGCAGAGCAAATCACGACAATTCAGAGCTCAGCTGTCACCTATTTGGAAAACCTGCGTCAATTAATCATGTGAGTTTTACTTGATTAATCAATCAATTGATGGATTAAATCTGCCTAAATCGGGGGGGGGGGGGGGAGAGATTCCAAAAGAAGAGAAGCCCTCTTCCACTGACGCACACATCTGTCAAAGCAAGGATCATCTTATTTGTTTGTTTATTATTTAATTTAAAAAATTATAAACTGCGCTTTCATGCAAAATATCATATCAAGCTAAAAACACAGTTTGATATGCAGAAACATCAGCGAGAGCTGGTTGGCAAAGTATCTCAGGTCTGAAAGTCCTGTCTGAATACTAGGGTTTTTAGAAAGTGTCAAGCCTCTAGTGGCAAGGAGTTCCACAGGGCAATCAAGGCTCTGCCCTACGTAAAAGGCCAGCCAGACCTCAGAGCCATGTGGAACCACATGGGAAGGAAGGTCTGTTTTTAAAAAGAAAAAGCTAAGGATGGTGGCAAGTGCCTGTGTTGAAAACAATTTGTTTTTAATCTTCTGCCCAGTTGATTGGGGGCAACGTTTTACTGAGTCAAAATGAT